CACGTTTTCGCGTTTAAAACTTCGGCCTCAACCTCGCTAATACCTCAAGATTTCCTTTATCGAGCAAGATCCTTCCACGACGAAGCAAACACGCGGACTGAGACCAGTGAACAGAAGTGAATAAAAAATGGCGCTGCGAACTAATGTAACGTCGTATGGTGAGTTTTTGTTCGTATCGTGGAGCAAAAATATGTTCGAATTTCATGTCGTATCTTGAAAATTTCGTATGTTGGGGCGTTTGTATCCTGAGATACCACTGTAAATGGTTTCAGGATTTTTTCTCGTAGGCAGTAATTATATCCTGATTAAGCTTTTCGGTTTTCTTACTTTTCGTGTTTCTTTCTGAATTCAATAAATAATTATAATTTAACATATGTTACTTACACATAATTGTTTAATTATATTTAATTTATTGTCAAGCCTTAATTACTTTTAATTAAAGCTAAAATTCTTAGTATTGAAAGTAAAATTCTTCCTCCTCGTCTCGATGATTTTGAAAGGAATTTGTTTATTTAATCAAAAAGTTCTATTTATAACATGCTTCCTGTCTTTAATGAATTATAAATGTACTAGGAATTTGGTTTATAATTTAAATATTAATTATCCAATATAAACTTAAGTAAAGTTATAAATAAACAATATTAATTAATAATTATCTAGTTGTTAAATGTAAAGAAAATAAATTGTGCAACTTTATATTCATTTAATTAATGTTAACTGTACAACAACTTATGTTTTATATTTTAAAATTCTTAAAATTATGTTTTGATATTAGTGATTAAATTTTTTAAGACACGTTTATATATATTAAATTTTAATTTAGCATAGAATATTAAATTTAAAGCATATGTCAAGCGTTATAAACTATTTATATGCAATCTTGACAAAATTAAATAAATGTATTCGCAATGAATAAAATGTGAGGAAAAAAATATAATAAAAAATTTAAATTTGCTACTCTTATTAATAAAATAATTCAGCAAAATAATAGATAAATATTAATATCAACCATAATACAATAGCCCGCAGTTTAACGGGCTAATTGGGGATGGGATGTTGGCTATTGCCGAAAGTCCGTTAAATCGAATGTTTTAAAGACACACAAATAATGAACCCACAGTGTGCTGTACAAGATGTATTAAAATGTTATTATAATTTACTGTACCTTGACCAGGGCCATCGAGGGCTTGTATGGGTAGATTGGGACTCTTTTGTCTTTTGTTTTTTTTCCTGAACAAATGAAATACGTAGAATGTTTCTTTATCAATAAAAACCAGTCTTAATGATTTTGTTTTGCTAGTAAAAATAACATTAATTCATAGTGGTAGGAATAGGAAGCACTACGGACTCTTAAGTTCTCATTCGCATCAGTGTCAGAGTGAACAAAAACCATTGAACACTTTTATCGCAGGTTCGTGCCTCATCAACGAGCTAACCACGTGGAGTTTTCTGGGTTTTCATGCGTCTAAAATCTAAATAAGGGACAGTTTCCCATATAAAGTCTTTCCGGATGGCAGCAGATCATCCATGTGTCGCGTTGCCTTATTCCATCAATCCAATCAAGTTCCCCTTTTTCCGGTCCGAGGAAAATCCTCAGCTCTCCTCTCGACAGCTCTGACATTGAAGTAATTTATGCTCATTGACTGGTTGACCCAATCTTTGGGGTGTTCTATCCTCGAATAAAAAAAAAAGTTATAAATTTTTTCTTTACAACACAAATATTTTCTCTGATAAATCGAGTATTTAACAGAGAGCTGTATTTTTCAAAAAAAAATATATGTATTTTTTATGTATAAAGATGATAATTCTTTTCGATAATTCGGTAAATAGAATTTATATAAAATAATGTCTGAATCAAATCCGAATTTATTATGTTTTAAAAATACATTTTTTAAGATTAAATGTCAAAGAGATTGTTTTAAAGCAGTCGTAAACTGGCTGTATAAAAATAGGTCACGTGAAGTTAGAGGATGCCAATGCGCATGTTCGTGTTAGAAAAATGTCTCTGGCTTCGTGTTGTCGTCTGTTAAGTAGACAATTTTCGTAGTTTGATATTAGCGATTATTTCATACATTATGGGATGTAAGTTGTTGGAATTTGCTCGTGAATGTTGGATTAAAGCTGAGACCAATGGAGCACTCGCTCCTTGCATTCTCTTCGGTGTAATACATACCGTAAGTAATAAAGCAGAATTTATATACTGTATTTAATTGTCATAAAATTAAATCTCGTGTCTTCAAGATATTTATTGAATAATTTCCTGTTCGTTAATACCAAATTTTTGTTGTTTATATTTTCTTTTATAAAGAAATAAATAATTAATACATTGGTAAATCATTTTTCCATTATAATGAAATTTAATGATAAATAGAGTATTATATACATCAATATGAATGAATAAATTAGTGACGTGATTAAATTCTGAATATTTAACACATGTTTATATTTATTATTGTAGAATGTAGACTATATTCATAGTTTCCATATATTTTTCTAGTTTAGTTTTTTGTTTTAATGTATTGTAATGTAATACTGCAATTAAAAATTTATAAATTGTTATAAACATCATTAAAAAATCATTAAACACTAATGCATTTTTTTATACTAATTTATTTTTTGGCTAAATTCTTAAATCTTAATTTGATATAATTTAAGTAAAACTAGAGCAACTTTTTTTAAATAATTGATTTAAAAATTGTTATATTTTCAATAATTTTCTCGGTTGTATAAAATTTCTTGACTAGAAAATATCGTAATTTGTATTGTTTATTGTATTTTCTTGAATAAAAAAAACATTATTTTTTCAGAATAAGATATAATACTTAACATTTTTTTAAATATTTAATTTATTTTCTTTTGTAATCTTTAAATAAGTATAGAAAATAATTATGTACAGTACTAATATTAAATAAATAAAAGATCATAAGAAAAGTTTCAGATTACTAAAATGGATAAATATGTTTATAATAATGAAAAGAAAATTAATATATAATATGAAGATTAGACAAGTCTAGTTAAGTTTTATCTAATTTAATTTCAAGCTAAATGTAATATATTGTTAAACTATCAGTTGTTATAAAGATTTAAAGTGAATTTTTAATTGTAAATATTCAATAAACATTGTTACTATTATCATGTTTCCAGTTCTAAGATGAATTTTTATTCATTTTTGCTTGTCTTAGAATTGATGGCATTTTATGTTTACAATCCAAAACAACAATCAGAAATAGATAACAACCACAAGTTGGTGTATTATGCACCAATAATAAACTTTTTGGCTTGCATTTTCAATATTATCATGTCAGTTCAAATGAGCTTTACTGATAATGAGTGTTTAATTTAAAAATAAGGACATTTTAGGTTCTACATATTTTTACTGTTAAAAACATATGTTTAACAGTAAAAATATGTAGAACCTAAAATGTCTTTATTTTTTTTTTAATGTCCAATCACCAGGAACAAGAGTCTTCCATTGCAGAGATGATCTTTTATTAGAAGCTACACCTTTTCAAAAATGTGCAAAATAGCTTAGAAAGTTCACTGTTGACAAGCCAATAATTAAAAATACAGATTCAATTAAAATTGCTGGCAATATTTACACAGTTTCTTTTGTGTTTTTTTACTGTGTAAATATTGTCATCCATTTTAATTGAATAATATTTTAACATTTAGACTTTAACACATAGACTTTGATGGCTTTTTAATCAAATTGGTAGGTTTTTAGTTAATTAATAAGGGTACCTGAGAGCAAGTAATGATAAAAGTTTGTTTCTGGACAGTCTTTTCTACTCACATTGTCTGTGATGACAATATTAAAGATAATCATAAATGTATGAAAGAAGACTTCAATCATAATTAATATTTCTCTGTTCACAGCATTTTATACTGATTTTAGATATTCACTGAATGAGTATATATCAAAAATTTCTTTTCAACTCTAACTATAACGTTTAGTTTTTATTATCTGAAATTCTACAATCCTTTTGATTGAACATAAACAATTTATTAAAGAGGTAAAAGTTTATAATTAAGAATTAATTATATATTTTTTGAGGAGTCTTCTCTTATCCTTAAATGTTCTAATTGAATATTAAGTAAAAAGATTTTAATTACTCTGCCTAAACCAACAAGAAAAACTTTAAGATATATTGATTGAGAAAAATAAGTTCTTCCTCATTTTGTCTAGCTGAAAATAGCTTTTAAGTGAAGTTTAAAAGGACTAAAGTAGCACTTAGGTTGTTTAAAAAATGAAGAGCAGCTGATTTTTTTAATATAGAAAAACTGTATTTTAGCTTATTAGTTTATACAGACTAATTGTAATTTCTTTATATGCTATAATTGAATGGTGAGAATCTCATCAAAAATGTTTAATATATTTATAATTTTGAATTCTTTAATAATTTGTTATGATGATGGAGTTAAAACATAAAACTTTCTATGTGTGAATATCTAAACTTTTTTGAAATTTAAAGCTTGATTTCTTGACAAAAAGATGAGTTACATATTTGTTATATATATAAATCATTTATTAAACATTTAATTAACTGATTATTTCTCACAATGAAGTGTAATGTAAAGAAAGTTTTGTGTCAATTATATTACACTTCATTGTATATATAGTATGTGGTAACCTCAGAACTTCAAACTTAAAAGAAAAAATATTTTCGAATATTTTTTTCTTTTAAGTTTGTATAATAATTAATTTGACATAATTTATGTATTCATTTTAGTTACAATAGAAAAAGTCTGAGTGAGACAAAAATTTCTAACCCCTTAGTAACAATAAAACTCATGAAAATAATTCTGATTTCCATGAATTCAGTAACATTATCTCAAAAATTATGCTTAAAATAATTTCAAATAATATAAATTGTTTAAAAAAATTAATGCATATAAATTCAACTGTTGAAAATTTAATCAGCTGTCAAACATTTATAAAAAGATATAGCTAAAATGTTTTTAAAACTGAATTATTAATTTTTATAAATTTAATGTTTCAGTTGGCAGGAATTGCAGTCCTTGCAGTATCAATATGGTTATATGTTGACAGCTCACTTTATATTCAGAATACTGCAGACAGTTATACATATTTTACTGCAATCTACATATTAATGGGAGCAGGAGCTATTATGACTATAGTTGGATTTTTGGGTTGTTGTGGTGCTCTTCAAGAAAGTCCATGTATGTTGGGAACAGTGAGTATTTATTTTTTTCTTTTTTAACACAAAAGAATTATACAATAAGCATAATATAATTCTTTGAATTACATATAAAAATTATTGGTATTAATTAGATTTTTTCAATTAATTTATATTTTTTTATTCAAGAAAACAATTGACCTTAGCTTTTTGTTTATAGCATTTATTTAATATGTATTATTTTAAGATTTGTGATTATAATTATTTTTCAAATTGTATGGTGTTTATTCTTTTTTATAAAATTATTCTCTAGGTTATCATTTTTCTATTGTTTAGATTAATAAGAATAAAAATTTTGATATATTTTTGACAATTTTAATGTTTATATTTTAAAAAATTATATACCCCGTGTACAGTAATAAACCAAACTCAAGAATTTCAGTTCAAAATTCTGGTTTAGCTCTATATTCACCATATAAGTAGACTTAAAAGTTCATATAGTAATCTGCCTATAGATTAGAACTGAAGTGTATATGTAGTATGTGGTAACCTATGGAAAAATCATTAACTCTAATACTTTTTAATATATTACTGTTCCAGAACAACAATGACATAAATGCTGAATTAATAATTTTTTTATTAATTCGGGATCAAAATATTTAATAAATCAATTTTTTGATCAAAATTTTAAAAAAATGATTAATTCAGCATTTATGTCATTGTTGTGGAACAGGATTTATTATATATAGCAACCACTAGATCTTTAGTAAGTTATCTTGATAAAATCTTTAGTCTACAACCATTCCAGAAATCCACATAACTAGGTAATTCTTGCAAACACCACATCACATAGAACTTTTTAACACCAGTTGAAAATTTAATATCAACAGACTAACATTTTCAATGCAAACTGGATCTTTGTCATGTCAAAGGATTTAAAACTAGAAGGTGAAACCCCCAAATTTATGAAATGTTGTTTATGGACAATTGATGGTGTCTGGAAAAAGATTTAAAACACCATGTTGCTCCAGAATTAGAAAACATCAAAATTAAATATTTATTTTATACAAGCATGATAGCTAAAAGTTGGCCTATAGCAGGGGTCAGCAACCTGCGACTCGCGAGCCACATGCGGTTCTTTGGATGTGAAGCTGCGGCTCTTTAGTTCCATACGCAAATATTATTTATTTTATCAAAAAAAAAAAACCTTTTAAATATCGTTCTGAATCGATTAACAAGGATTAGGCACTGATTCTATCTCTCAGCCACTTGTACTCACTTTTCACCGCACCCCTCCCCTGTGACACGTGTCGTCACTGTCGTCAGTCTGTCGGAAGCTCTCGAATGATGCCGTCGTCGGATGTTTCTATTATCTAATTTGTTGTGAAAAACACTACTTATATATGAATAAATAGATATTTTTTCTTATGAATAAATAGATTAGTTTTTTTATCAAAAAACTTTATTTATGTGAGTACTATTTATTGTTGGCAAGAAAAAATTTTGTGGCTCTTTAAAAACTTTGAAATTTTGTAAATTGTAATTTTGGCTCTTCCGACTCAAAAGGTTGCCAACCCCTGGCCTATAGCTATCAGAGCCTCATGTTCCTGAAAACAATCCCAACTTTGAAGACTCTAAACTCCTAAAATCTGCCAGAAATCAAGTCACTGGAAAAACCATTGAAAAATAACCATATACAGACATAATATGAAAAATTTATGTAGCAATTCTAAAGATACTGCTTGCCTGGTCACAGCTTGGAAATATGTTTTAAACCAATAGTAGAATACTGACTGTCTAAATATTGTATGCATCAAATTGTACTTTTCTTTAATGTATTTTTATTTCATTTATATGTAATTTTTTAAAGTCATTCTAAGAATTTGTAATTTTTAAATTTAAAAACTTGTGTAAATTAAATTTTTACATTCCAATTCATTATTATTATGTTAAGAATGTCATGCTCAACTGATACTGGTGCCAAATACTATGCCAGACTAGACTAAAGTCAAGGCATATCTATTCAAACAAGTGTTACATTAAGAGTGAAGATCTAGTGAAGTTCTTTCCCAAATTCCGTCTCATTGAGTTGGTTTCCATGTGTATCACAATTCGATGTAGTGATCCAGGTTCAATGGAAAGCACACCTCCACACTCAAATTGATAATATTTACAGTTTATTTACAGATTCTATATGCAGAAAGTAAAAGTTCGAAAACATAATATATATACAGGAGAACAAAGTGTGGTGACTCACGTACTAAATTGATTTCCGGGAACTATTAAACTTTGGCGAGGCCTCAGTCAGCTTGTGGAATTGGCTCAACTGCACAGTCAGTCTAGTCTCTGCACTAACCCGTTCCTGAGATGATTACCAGAGGAGAACACTCTCTCTACGCTCAGTGGGCTTCCCAAGCGCCTGAGACTACCATGTACCAGTCTCTTGCCCTTCTCTCCTCCCTCTCTCATTCGTTACGCAATTTAAGGGTTTTTTTTTGGAAGGAAACTTCCGACCAATCAAAATCTTTTTTGCCCGAACAGCTTTACCCTAGGTCCGCTGTTAATCTGATGAGAGTCAAGCTTACAGTAACGTCTGTCACTTGTTTACATTCAGTTGTTTACTATATGGCAAATTGTCTATCGTCTGACCACAGGTGAGTCCAATTGGCAAAGTCGTCACTTTTTTTTGTTTTTCCTCTGTTTACAAGTCAACACCTTACAAGTGGTATATTACCTGACTGCAGGTGGCATTGACATGGTCACGCTTCTTTTGTTCCCTCTCTGATAAAAGGTCAATACAGGTAACCCCCATATAACATGGCACTTCTATAGCACGGATTCACTCTAACACGGTTTGAGAATTGGGAACATCCCCGTATAACACGGTGCTTTTATAGCACGTGTTCACTATAACACGATTCGGGAATTGGGTAAAACCCTCATACAACATAAAATGTAATAAAGGATGTGTTCTTTTATACCTCCGCGTAACTCCACACGAGCATTCTAATTGTTTTTGTAGCTACTTTGAATGCTCTTTCAACAAATAATCCATTTAATGGTTAAATTATACAATTGGGACCCTTCTTTTGTCTCTAAAAGCTCATTTTAGAATTATAGATCGCTCTACACGATACTATCGATAGTGTGGGCGCTGCCATCTTTCTTTTACTGTCATTCCTAAATGCCTACAAACGGCAGCGCACTCCCATTTCAGAGCGTCCGCTATTAACGAACGCACCCACAAACTGTTACCAGTTGATGATGCTCATGCTGAGATCATCATATAAAATGAATAATCCTCTGGTAAAATATTTGCTTAAATAATAAATAAGTATTTTACTTATGAAAAAAATGAATAATAAATGTTTAACATATACAGTAATGTTTAACAACATGTTTTTTAATTTTTGGAATCTAACCCCCCCTTTTCGCACTAGTTCTTTGTTTCATATAATACGGCAATTTTCTGGAACGTAACTCCCATGATATACGGGGGTTACCTGTACTTTACATTAAGTTTCTGTGCTTTTGGTATATGTGGCAACATCTAGAAACTTCCTAACAATGTGACATGCATTCAGTATCGTGGCTTTCTGTAGTGTCATGTATATATTTTTAAGGTTATATAAGGTTTAATGTTTCTAGAGTTTTGTGTAGTGTATGTGGTATAACACCAGTAGGAGAGAGAAACAACAGGTACAATAATATCTTACATTTTTCACATCTGTCTTATTTCTTGAGTGAGTGGAATGTACTGTTCTTGTTGATTTTTCAGTATGTGCATTATTTGTTATAAGTGTGGAAATGTCTATTATATAGGCATCTTACTGCATTTGTCAATGAAAGTGATGTCTCTTGGACTGGAAATGTCTATGGAATGGAATGGAATGGAAATGTCTATTATATAGGCAATCTTACTGCATTTGTCAATGAAAGTGATGTCAGGTCTATTATGATGAATTCTTTTATCTGTGATTATGGTTACAGATAAAAGAATTCTGTTATATTTTGTGTGCCATTTTCTAATACTGCCTGTGGAGTATATTTGTAGTATGGTACCTGAATGTTTAATAATCTGTGTTTGCAAGTTCTTGGTGTATTATATTTGCTACTTGATTATGCCTATGTAAATAGTCTGTTTGTGCTAAGAGCTTACAACCATATGCTGTATTGTTTTTGGCAGAATGTGGCATGTTTTTGCAAATCATTTGTGAATGATGTATCCTCCAGGATGTGTTTTCTGTAGTTTGGCCAATGCTTTCTGTAGTAGTATGACCAGATCTTGAATGGCAACTATCACCCCTCAGTCTCTCCAAACGGACAACCAATAGTTTTATCTAATTTTGCCAACATAGTCTTGAGTTAGGTCATAGACATACCTGCCATGAAGTGCCTTTTGGATCCATAACTGCTTAATGGTGTCTGTTATTTATGTGTTGAGTTATGTCCAGGTCTCAAAGTGTAAGTTTAAAGGTGTGTGGTTACTGTCTACCAGAGTTATAGCTTTATATAATCTTGATGTTTCTTGTTGAAAATCTCCCTTGATTAATGTTAGAATTTGTTTGTAGTGCAGGTCAATAGTCAGACCATGGCCACCTTCTTTACAAGAAAAAGTTAGTCTTTCTACAGATGATTTTGGGTGATATTGTTTATGCATAGTAATTGTTGTTGTTGTTGTTTTCCTTTGGAGTTGCTCAAGATCTGTGTATAACTTTAAAATAATAAGTGAGTACAGGGATATATGTATTAATTGATTTAATATATTTTGGGTTCTTGACCTTATAAACACAGATCTTAACAGGTAGAACAAATTTATTTTGAGCTCAAGTACAGAGTATCACCAGTACCATGTACATGGTCAGACTGGCTCTGTGGGAAAACAGACTAAATCTAGGGTATGGTAAGTGTTGCCAGGTTGGTCACAGTATGTTTTGCATTTAGGTATGTTCTTAATACTGCATGTAATCTGATCTTCTATTCAAATGTTAATCTTTATTTTATCTGTGCACGTTCTGTAAGTTTGGCCTGTTGGAATCCTAAATACTTATAAAACT